AKGAAAGGCTAAAAAGAGCAGACCATCCCTAACAGGCTTTTTCTAACGTCATTAGCCTCAGGGACGGGACGAAAAGAGAAACCATGGGGACGAAAATCATATTTTGAAGTTAAATACAAGAAAGAGAGATTTCTAAGCAGAAGAGGTGTTTTCAACTGGTTCTACACGAGACTTCCCTGGTCGATTTACAGTTTCCATCATCCGATTGTAACAACCCACTATTTCTTGATCCAACTTGTAGTAGTATGCCATTCTCTCTACAGGCTTCATGTCCAGATCAATAAACGATGCCTGATAAAAAACACTCTGTCTTCAGAATGAATACAACATAATCATAGTAATAATCATCTTGTTGTACAGAAAGGACCCTTACTTTGTATTCAAAACTTCGGTTAATTGATTCAAGAAAAACAACATCATAAGGAGACGCGGGATTTCCTCTTCCTGTTGGACGAAAACTGATGATTAGACTCAAGTCCTTTGCAGTTGAAGATATCAGATAATCTCTCACAATCTTCACCCTTTGATCGATGGGAAGTGAATGTATCGGTTCATATCTGTTGGCTTCTCCTAACTCCCTACACACTACACATGGCTGAGACACCACATCATAATACGCATGAATAGCACCTTCTATGTCCAAAACATCAAGCTTCTGAACTTGAAGAAGCCGGTCCATCACTCCTGATTCAGAAAGTGCCTCAGTGACAAGCTGCAAAAAGTTAGGGGTACGCATGCCCTCCTCATCACCTTCAATCACATCCTTTAGTGTATCTTCAAATGCTTCTGCGATGCGAGTATCTGTATCGTCTGCCCCACCACCCAAGCTCCCAAATACAAGTGAACCGTTCAAGAATACCCGGAAATTATTCTGAGGGGTAAGGAAGAGGTCCTTCACTGATTTTAGCACTCTTCCTTTTGATGCAGAGAACATATCCAAAGGGTCATATTCACTTATCTGTGATATCTGATGTAACACGCACTCACATTAGAATCTAGAAATACCAAAACAAATGCATCCAAGGGGTCATATTTCTAGCAGACTAATAGTGTAGCTTGGAAGATAATAGAGGAAAATGCTACAACCTTTCTTTGGTGGAATTTAAGGATCTGATGCAGCTTGAAGCGGGATATCCTTTTCTTAGCTGCATTTTCCTCTCTTACAAATCTTGAAATCGGAAGAAATCCACACTTTGGCTGCTTAGTTTGAAGAAAATAAACAAAGAATTATGAGCAAGACATTGCATGTTTTCACAAAAGGAAAGACACAGCTCAACACAAGCATGTACCTTTATCTCAACAGCTATGCACAATTCTTCTTCATCAACACCACCTTTGACAGAGACTATAGCAATTAATAGCAGCCCCATATAAATATGCAAATTTGTGATATCACATAATGTGCTGCATTTATTTTGATGATTGATAAAGAAGGTGGAAAAGCTAAGGTTTGACCTAAACTTCCAACCAAGGCATCACCCTACTAAATGATTTTAAATTGGAGTTCTTTTACACAATTAGATAGGATAAAGAGTTACCATGGGGGAAAATTGAATGGTCTGACATGAGAATTGCAGAATCACATTGGGTATTTATCCTCGCATCTTCAGCTCGCCAAGAAGGGCGCTGAAATAAAACCCCATTATGTATCGACTCTAGAAATTCCCTGGTTACCTGAACACGAACCTGCCATGTTTGGAAAGATCAACCAGTACTTGAGCTCATGTACCATACAAGACATAAAGCTCACATAGATGTTACAAATATAGAAGATAAAGAAGATGGAAATACTAGCATAAAAAGCAATAAGAAGTCATAAAAAACCCATGGGGCCCTCAAGTTAACAGTCTTGAACGGGTCTTTATTTGCCAATTGAGCTTGCCTTAATCAGAACTCCTTTTCAAACCATACTCAAGACTATCACATGAACCATCAAGATAAAGTTGATGATAAAGTTTAAAGTAGGAGACGCAGAGTGTATAAGGAAGTAAAAACATACCCCAGCATCAATGTGTTGAGAACCTAATAATGGGCACATTACTTGTTGCGCATAGATATGATTTCCAATATCCTTTGTTGAAGCAGATAAAAGGTCTCTTGTTTCTTTCCATACAAGGCACTCATGCTTGGATAAAGCTGGTGGAGCTTTCTCATATTCAGATCCATTCCTCTTGACCTTTTGCACCCGTAAAACTTTGCCAATCTACACGAAGTATAAATGCAAATCAATATTCAATATCTTGCAATCAAACATGTCTTTTATCAACCCCTGATGTTGTACTACAAGTATAGAAAGTGTTAAGCATGTAATTAATTATTCTCTTTGCAGTCATCTTTGTTTACTCAAAAGAGCTTGTTTCTGACCTTCAGTTTTCGGATTTCAAATTTGGATTCCAATTTCAGGAATTTTACATCTTGTTGTTGATTGCAACATGGGGTATTGCGTTTGATAACTATAACTGAAAATTTTATTCATCTAAATTGAGATTCTATCTGCAATAGGCAATTAACCCTACAAATAGCAGCATAAAGAGAGGAAATCAAACACAACCGAGTTAATTTGTTATTATCGTGTTCTTTTTCTACAATCTTTTAGGAAAATCCCTCAATTTCTCAAGTTTCTCTTTAATTAATTACTGCGCCACATTGCACAACTACAACAAGGACTATACGTGTGTTTGGAGAGATTGAAGCAAAATCAGGTAAGAACTAACAAAAGCTCTAAATAACTCCAAATCGTTGTTCTCAAACAGAGATGAAACCAAATGCATAAACTGAAACCAAAAAAATTAGTAAAAATAATGATAATTACGAAGTTGGGGGAAGTTCCGGTGTATGAAAGAACAAGATTAACAGCTCCTTCTCCCTTGTAAATCCAATCTTCTGCATCTTTTGCCTCTAATATCAACTCCATCTGCAGATTGTGATACATATCAGATTTGTTTATAAGTTAGGAACAAAACCCTTAAAATGTTGTTGCAGGTACCTCGTAGTTTGGCAGTATGGAGGTGAAGAAAGTGGGTAAGCAAAGAGCTCTGCTGGATTCCTTAACTGGAAGGTTGTGGTTTTCAGGCCATGTGGGTGATGGGTTCTGAGGAACATATTCCCTTTGTAAGAAGAGAGCAAGAGAATGTGTTTGGACTTCTCAATTTTCAACGCCAGCTGGATGATTGGTCTCGTTTAAATATTATTCAATAGGTTTTTGAGAATTAAAAAAAAAAGATACCATGTTTTATTTTCCATAAAAAAATTAATTATTTATTTCTTTAATTAAAATAACTTTTAATTTTTATGGAAAAAGTGGTAACTCAGTAGGTACAAAGTCCTCATAGTGACAGTATAAGTGTATGTCGACACTATGATCGTTTGCAAGTAATATAGTGGTAAAGTACCGAGATCGTTTCCATAGGGATTGAATTAATGAGAATCGAATAATTTCATGAACTTCTTGAGCATGTTTCGGTTTGTGATTAAAAGTTGGATTTTTGTTGGTGAAAAACTATAAAAGATGAAATAGACTTATAAATAAAAAGATGAAATAGACTTCTTATCGACCTCAGGATAGTTGGAAGAGAATATTCTAACTATGAGATGCTGACAAAATTCCTAGAATGTTTGTCAGAATCATGGCATAGCTATACTATGTGTCTCAAGATGTCAAGGACATGCCCCCCCCCCCCCTCTCTCTTAGCACTCTTTATGGGATCTTGATCAATCATGAGCAATCCCGTCTGCTGGAAAAGAATCTCCTTGGAGATTCAAAAGAATTGACAAGTTCTCTTGCAGCTTTGATCTCTGAAGCTCCTTCAGCGACCACTTCATTTCCTTCTATCACTGAGTTAGACCCTTCTAACACTGAGGACTTAACATGCGCTAATTTTCAGAGTTTGATGAGTCTTTGGCCCTTCTCACTAATTCTTTTAAAAGGTTTGCTAGAAAAAGCAATTTCCGCAGATCTCATTCTCTGACCATCGTTGATAAGCCAAAGTCAACCCCGATTGATAAAGCTTCAGCGATTTGCTTTAACTGTCAACGCAAAGGACACCTTACAAGTGAATGCAGGTCAAAAAGAGTTGTGAAGCCATCTTCCACCACCTCATCCTCCTTCAAGTTTAAAGACAATAAATATCTGAAATTGAGGGAGAAGTATAAGAAGACGAATAACCACCAGCATAAGGGTAAGGGACTTATAGTTGAAGAACACAACTGGACTGATTTATCTGACGAATCATCCTCAGATGAGGAAGACACAACCTACCTCTATCTTATGCCCAAGGATGTCAAAGGTGAACCATCTGAGACATCATCCTCAAGTCATCCCTCAATCTTAACATATACTCAGGAAGTCAAAGGCATTTGGTATCTCGATAGTGGATGCTCAAGACATATGACCGGCGACAATTCCTTGCTCTCTGAATATAAGGAAGAAAGAGGTCCTTCCATGACCTTTGAAGGTGATGGAAAAGGATATACCAAGGGCTTTGGTATATTAATGAACGAGCAACCACTTTTAAATAAGTTGCTTACGTTGCAGGACTGAAGCATAATCTTCTTAGCATCAGTCAACTGTGTGATAAATATTTCACAGTTAAATTCTCTAAGAATACATGTTCAGTCTTCAACAAAGATGACAATCTTGTATTACATGGCTCTCACCTAGAAAATATACACGTCATCGACATGGATTCTCCCCTACTGAGAATAACCGTTTTCTTTTTAAAGCCTTATCAGACATCAACTGGTTATGGCACAAACGGCTCTCTCATCTTAACTTTGTTGGGTTTAGATTAACCCCAAGATATTGAAATTTTTATAAAGTCAGTTTCATGTTTTGTATTGTAATACTATTTGTATTGTAATTGGGCATTGGGCTTTCATTGTAATTGATACCTATAAATAGGTGTCTTGGGTTTTATATTCATTATTATGAGAGTCGTCTGATGTGAGTTTGCTTTGTAAGTTTCCTTTACAGTTTTCATCAATAAAAAGGCCTATACATTTCTATTTGCTTCAATAATACTTGGTTTTGCTGTGATTTGGGATCTACACATGGTATCAAAGCATAATCGATTCAATTTTATTCGATAATATCATATTTTACAGCAAGATTAAAGTTTGAATATGTTTTTGCAATGGAACAGTACTCATGCATGAACAGTTTCCATTGTGAACCCAGATTCAAGTCACAATCAAGTTTAGATCAAGATCAAGATCAAGATCAAGATCAAGATCAAGAACACATATTAGATTTGAGAAGTCATATGTCTATTACTTTGCAACAGTGAATTACAATGTGCTCTTGAACGATGTCTCTCAAAGATCTCACAGAGTACAATTTTCTCTCAACAAAGATATCTCTCAAAAGTTATGATCAATTCTTACTAAACAAACTACCAAGGGCACCTATTTATACCCCTTATTACAAAGCATGTAAAGTCTAACTAGAAAGCATTAAAGGCTAACACTAGAAAGCAATGTAAAACACTTTAAGTACAAGAACTTGAATGCAACACTTTTAATCTATCAGTCTTCCTCTTTGGATTCAAGTCCAAAAATAGATTAGTAATGAACAATTTAAAGTCATTTAAGAGACTTAGACTCTCCCTCAACATGTTGATCAAAATTTCATACAGACAGATTTAGCAATCCAAGCTTGCTTACTGGAAATGAAAACCTTTTCTCACCAAGAGGTTTTGTGAATAAATCAGCAAGTTGGAAATCTGTTTGTACAAAATGCATTTCAATTGATCCTTTTTCAGCATGGTCAATAATAAAGTGATACATGATATCTATGTGTTTGGTCTGGGAGTGCTGAACTAGATTAACAATTATAGCAATCACGCTCTTGGAATCACAGTTGATAGGGACTTTTGTTGAATGTATAGCCGTAGCTATGAAGTTGTGTCTTCATCCAAAGCACTTGTGAACAATAACTAGCTATTGCGACATATTCTACCTCTACAGTAGATGTTGAAACATAGTTATGCTTCTTTGAAGTCCAACTGACTAGCTTGTCTCCTAAGAATTGATATGATCCAGATGTGCTTTTTCTATCCAGCTTGCAACCTTCATGGTCATAATCTGTAGAAGCAGTTAGCTCAAAGCCAGAATCTTTCGGATACTAAAGGCCCATATTTGATGTACCTTTGAGATACCTTAAGATCCTTTTGACCGTAGTAAGGTGTAACTCTTTCGGATTAGCCTGATATCTTGCACAAAAACAATTGTAAACATAATATCTGGTCTACTTGTAGTTAAGTACAATAAATATCCAATCGTGACATGATAATTTTGTTGATCGACAAATTTACCAGACAAATCTGCATCTAATAAAGTTCTAGTAGCCATGGGAGTCTTTGTCGAAGAACAATCAGACATAAAACTTTTTCAAAATATCTTTGACATATTTTGATTGATTAATGAATATGCCATTGGGAAGTTGTTTCACTTGAAGACCAAGAATTTTTTTTAACTCACCCATCATACTCATTTGAAATTTAGATTGCATTATGTCTGAAATATTCTTGCAAAATTTAGGATTTGTAGAACCAAAAATAATGTCGTCAAGATAAACTGTATCAAGATCAGATGCTTACCTTGATTTTTCAAATATAGCGTAGTGTTGATCATACCTTTCTTGAAACCAGATTTTAACAGGAATTGAGTTAATGTGTCATACCATGTCCAAGGTGCTTGTTTAAGACCGTATAGTGCCTTATCTAGGACATAGGCATGATCTGGATTTTCAGGATCTACAAAGCCTTCTGGCTGACTCACTTACATTTCTTCATGGAGAATTCCATTTAGAAATGTTGACTTCACGTCCATTTGATAAATCCTGAAGTTCTTGTGAGTCACGTGAGCTAAGAATATTTTGATAGCCTCAATGCATTCGACTAGAGCAAAGGTCTCGTCATAATCAATACTGTCCTGTTGACAGTAACCTTTTGCGACCAGTCAAGATTTATTTTGAACAACAATTCATGTTTCATTCTTTTGGTCTCGGCATAAGTCTCCAAACTTTGTTTCTTTCAAACTCTTGAAGTTCATCTTGCATAACATTATTCCAGTCAGGATCTTGTAATGCTTTAGATGTCTTCTTTGGCTCTAAAGCACTCAGAAAGCTTAGGATCATACACTCATTTGCGGTTGCATATTGTGTTTGCACTCTCAAATTCATACTTCCAATTATTTGAGTCGGGGGATGATCTTTTGTCCATTTGTGTGTACAAGGTTAGGGTTGTACATCAGTCAAATTGTTCTGATCATCATACTCATTAGATACAACTTGAATTTCTGAGTGTTCAGCTTCAACTTCTGGTTGAGAAGACTCAAATTGAACAACTTTGGATTCAACAATTTCAAGTTGAGTCATTACTTCAGCTTGAACAATCTCAATTTCAGTGGCTAGTTGAACAACTTTAGGTTAAACATTAGTTGATATTGAACAACCAGCTACAGATGGTCCAGAAAGTTGTGTAACTTGCGGAATGGCCATTGAATCAGTAACGTTGGATGCGTTTGAATTTTTGGATTTTGCGTAAACATCCAAAGTTAAGTCAAATGCATCTTTAAACAATGAATTTAAATTTGATGTAACAGTAGGGTTAGAATTCATTGTCCTGTTTTCTAGTACATGTTCTACACTGATTTGTATAGAAGCTGATAGTTGTAGATTGACTCTTGAATTGTGTTGTCTAGAAGTCCATGATTCGTCGAATCGAATGTTGATGTTTTCGATGACAATTTTAGTCCGTTTCTCTGAAGGCTTTTGACGTGATAAAATATCCGAGAAAGAAACCTTCATCAGCTTTCTTATTAAACATTCCTAGATTGTCTCGGTTATTAAGCACGAAATATCTGCAGCCAAAAACATGAAAGAATTTCACATTAGACTTTCATTTATCAGTTATCTCATAAGCAGTTTTATTTAATCTTTTGACAATAATCATTCTATTTTTAGTGAAACATGCAGTAGATACAACTTCAACCCACATATATAGAGGTAAGCTAGAGTATGCCAACCAAAGTAGGGTTTCTTCTTTCAACAACTCCATTTTGTTGCAGAGTTCGAAAGACTAACAAATTGTGAGAAATCCCGATAGAGTAAAGGAAACTTTGAAGGGTCTCATTCTTGAACTCAGT